GGCACCCAGGGCTGGGGAAGGGAGAGAGGAGACAGAGTGAGTACGGGGATGTTCTGACCCGGGCAGCTCGGTGCGAGCAGCAGAGCAGCTCCTACAGGAGCTCAGGGACCACTACGGTTGATGGGGAGAAACTATGGTACAGTCTGAGCCACTGACATAAGATGTAGTGAAGAAACCTCTCTCTCTGCTGGTAAAGCTGCCTGCAGCTGCGTCTTTCAACGCAAAGAGCTGCAGGTCAGAGCTGCTTCTGGCTCTCTCCCTCAGTCTTACAGCACCCATAACGGGGGAGCAGGGGCATATTTGTCAGGGCACGCTTTAAATGGAGCCAAGCGACAGCTGGGACACCAGGTGAGCAGTGGGCGCAGGGCAAGGCAGGAAAGGAGGCAGCAGCTTCAAACGGGTGTGCAAGTAGGGAGCGGAAAGGGGATGTGAGCCCGAGGGTGTGAGGGCCTTAAAAAGGCAGGCTGCTGAACGGCTTAGAGCTTAGGGATTAGAAGATGGGAATATAGGGAGTACTGATTAACTTCTGTAGGGTGATCTCGGTACAGTTAGAAGAGCTCTGGCTGAAGAAGGCAGTTAAATCTTGGAGAGCTTTACAGAGCTGGCAGCGAGAGCCCTGCTGCTGCTCTGACCTTGCAGCACGGGAGCCCTGTGTGGAAAGGCATAACCGGTTCCTCTGGGGAAGGGAGAGCACTGGGGCACACGAGCCTTAGGAAATACTCTCGGTTTTACATTACAGTGGGCAAACACCGTGTTTTATTCAGAAGGGTTTTTGTTGTCATAGGAACCCAGAGGCAGGGGGGTGCTGAGGTCGGGCTGTGTGAGTGATGCTGTTGAAACTGCCGGATCCTCCCCGCCCAGCCAGCGGGAATGTGCTGTTCTGGGTCAGCTAAATCTGCATCCCGACCGGTGCTGGAGTACGGCAGCGCGGGTGGGAGTGGGAGAGGCGGCTCTCTGTTAACTCCCTTCTCCTCCGCAGGCTCTGGCGCTTTATGAATAGCCCGGCGGGGCTGCGGGGGGGCTGGGTGTCGCGGATGGGCGCAGGGAGGGTGACAAAGCACCTGCCGCCGGACGGGGATGTTCCCTCAGAGGAGGTGGCTCTGCCGGAGCCCTGGGAAGATGCAGCCGGGAGACGCTCGGG